CCCTTTTCTGCAGCGTTTTTTTGGAGTCGTGGTCTAGACTTTCGGGACACGGCATCTCTGCGCGCCATGTCCTCGATTCTGCTGCGGTGCTGCTGCAGAAACCAAAGCAACCATCGTAAAATCTGCACCCGTTCCTTAGCCTGCTGAGCTTGACACTGGTAAGGATTGAGAATTGGTGTGTATATTTGGACCATTTGGAATGGGCGTGCGCCCGTCCTGTCGCTAGCTCTCTACCGGCTTCGACATGTGCCGAAATGACATGCTGATGGGATCTGAGCCTTAACGATCCTTCTTTGATGGTCCGCAGTCTATCTGTTTCACTACATTGCTCCCTACGGCACAAGCCGATGTGATCAAGACTTCGGCGATGAGTAAGCGTCATCGTTGATAGCATTTTCCACCCAGCTATTTGCGACCTTGCTCGTGAGGTCGAACAGTTGCTGGGCCATGCCATCCTCCTCACACTCGTCGTTTTCCATGTCGTGCCATTTTTTGAAACACCAGCTGCACACGCCTCGACGCGTTTGTTTGCAGCGTCTTTTCAATCTTCGCGTTGCGTCGCTGGCAATCTCGTGTGTTTCTTCGCAGCTCTTGATCGGACAGGGGAACGAGACGCGACAATACTTGCGATTGTACTGGACTTTTGTTACCCGATCAAGAAATCCTTCCGCATGGATCGGGAGAAGCCATTCCGACACGCAGCATCTCGGTCGGTTGGTGTTGAGATTCATGTCGGACGACATTGACGACAAGAATTTCTGCTGGATGCACTTTGCGCACAAAACATGGCGCCCGTGAATGTGGGTCGAAGGACTGTTTCTAAGATTGCAGCTCGTACAAATCGGCCGTAGAAATTCGGCCGTGATGCGCTGTCTCTCAGTCAATTTCTTGATTTCAACATCTCCTTCTTCGCTGGCCTTTTTGAAAGCGTATCCCTCTCGAGGGAGGCCGGGCGTATTGCGGTTCTTCTCTCCGTTGTGCCTCGAGTCTCTCCTGGCTTCCTCTGCAGCCGCTTCACCTCTCGCCTTTGACTGTTGGGTTCCATTCGCATTCTCTAATTGACTCTGTCGCACGTTATACTCGACCATGTCGGCGATGGTCGTGGCTTCTTCGTCATTTTCATCGATTTCCGGTTCCCAAATGACCTCTTCGCAGACAGACTCGGTATAACTCGTCAATTCATCCAGATAATTATCCAACAGGGCACTCTTGCTCCAACCCTGCTGTTTTCTGGGAAGAATGGGGTTTTGTAACTGTTGAATGGCCTCCCATATCCTCTCAGTATTATCCTTGATGATGGGTATAGCAGATGTCTGGCCGCGGATCGCTTCGGTGTCGGATTTGATGCTCTTAACCAAAGATCTAGAAATCTCAAAATCAGTTGCCACGTCCGTTTTCTGTGTCTTGCTGGGACTCACGCCGTGACCACCTCGACAATAAAACTTAACGACTCCCTCCACGCTTCGAGCCGCGTCTTCAGCCCCTCAACCTTCCTCCTCCCATCTGCAGCCCACCGTAACGACCCAGTCCTCCCCTTATGACGTTGTAACACGACATCGATGTCCGAAATGACGCCTCCGCACCTATTCACCATCGATGCGATCTGCGAGCGAACGGTGGTCGGCAGGGCGTCGCCTTCTCCGTCATTCTTGAGAATTTCGAGCGTGATCTGCAGATCTGTCAACTCGCGCGAGATATCCGTAAGGTCGCTCCTGGCTTCGCGGCAGCCTGTGATGAAAGTCAGGATGGCGCTCCCGGTCTTGCCCGCGGCGCCGATGACCGCGATACAGCTCGCTGCGATGGACAGCGGGTCTGCCATTGCTACGCCGGAGTCATGTTTGCGGATAAACAGACGAGGCTGGCGATTTCTTGGGGGAGGAGATGTAATACGTGGGGGCTTGTGTTGGTGAAGGGTGCCTCACTGCCCCCCATGGCTGACTGACATGCAGAGCGATCCAATGAGGACGTTGGGAATTCATGCCCCCCGGGCTGTGCTGCAAGTGATCACGGGTCTGTCCTGAAATGGATTCGTGGGCTGTAACCCAATTACGGAACTTTTCGAAGACTTGACTGTGCTGGAACTTGATCAAGCTCTTTGTACTATCTTCCGTGGTTCTGAGGTTTAATACCGAAAAGTACTCAAATGCTTGAACCAACCATGTCAGTGTGACTACTAGACTCTCTTCCATCTTCCGCAGTTTGCATTCTGCATTATGTATCCGAAAGAAAGAGGGTATGATGAAAAAGGTTGGATCGTTCGATAGGATGTTCGACTTGATATTTTGCTTCGTGACAACATACTTCTACATAAACCCAACGCCCTCATGCTACAATCTGATGCTTCGTGATGAATGATGCGACCCCAAAGATTCCAGATCCTCGGACATACAGAACACCAAAACCTCTGCTACAATCGGCGCTACTCAAAACACATCGCGAAGCTGGTCAGTTCCGGTCTGGCACATCGAATGCCACGCTCCTCCACACCACGTGCAGATATCTTGTCGACACGCCCGGCATGTCACGCAAGTCGAGTCTCTGCGCACATAGTACTTATACGAGTGGCCGCACCCCGGTAATTGACACTCTAGCACTTGCACGCCCCAGATGCGGTTGAACTCCTCCTTGAACTCCTCGTCGAGTACGTCTGCTACGCAACAGTAAGGCAGAGCGCTACCGTCCGCACAGCAAAGTGGCTCTTGATAAGGGTCAGATATCGAATCCTGGAATTTGCCCGTCGTGCAACTTGTGCAAAGCCAATTTTGGCCGTGCCTAATCGAGCTCATGGCGGATGTTTCTTTCCACTTCTTGCAATCGCTACACTGCTCGAGATCCTGAGTCACTTCCATCGACACTCCTTGGAGTAGCTTCGTAGGAGATTGAGCGAATGAAGCATGCAGCTCAGGACTCTGTCTCCGACTTTTTGAGTCTGAGGCTTCGTTTTGAGCATGAAGAGAGTAAAGTAGCTTTGAGAGTTCAAACGCAGGAAGTTCTGCATTAGAGATGGACCCAGAGACCACCGACTCTGGTCGACTGGTCAACTGAACATCAATGGAAGCCTGCTTGGTCTTCCTGATCTTGTGTTTTGGTGGGAGAGAGTTCAATGGCTCACTCGCAAGCCTATTCTTATTCTCTCCGCTCTGATGAGATATCTTGGTATGTTTCTCGGATGAACTGGTTTTGCTGGGTTGGTTCTTCCTCAGTAGTCGCAATATTTCCTTTAAATCCTCTTGTGTGTGATGCATGCCACCTCTGATGCTCTTCGTGTCATCTTTTAGGCTCGTGGTAATAGCTCTGAATGAATTGTCAGTCAAGACACATTTCACACTCCTCTTTTGTGATACTCACAAGGTGACACTCTGCGACAAAATCTTGAAGCGTTTGTTAGAGTTGGCTAACTCTTTGTGTAGGGCCTTGAACTTCGCCTTGCCACTAATAGCCCACTTCAGCTTCTTCGTCCGGTGTTCTTTCAAAACGACATCGACCCGAGAAAGAAGTTTGCGGCATTTCCCCCCTTCAATTTGGATGTCTTTCCTAAGGTCAGGGGGCAGACAACCTTTGGCAGAATCGTAGTTCAGACGCTGGAAGGTTTTTTGGAGGTATGTCAGCTGGATCTCAATCGCCTTTGAGTCTTCTGCGGCATCGGGATAGCTTCTCATGAAAGACTGAAGAGCTTTCACAGTTGTCACAAGGACGCTGCCAGCGATAGGAATCACAGCCAGCACTATATCCACCACCATTATAGGTTGATGGTCTGTAGCATGGTATTGAGCATGGATATGTTTCCTGACTGGAGAGATTCGACAATCAACCAGGTTTTGGCGTTGGTGGAGTAGAAGAAAGATGTCATGAGAAAGACATATTGTGAGTGGTCTCAGAGGGGGATATAATCATTTAAGCAATAGGGAATTGGTAGCTTTTTGTTCTTAGTGCAGACCTCCTTCAATCAGACCGTGCGATGATAGGTCGAAAGTGTCTGGAACATATATGTATTCATGGGTGCAGGAGACTTCAAAGAGGCGACTGTGGGCCAATGGACGAATGCCAAGACGATATGGTTACCATACTTGGCCACTCGACAGCATTAGCTTCCACGCCTCTCAATGAGAACGACATGTGGCTCATGCAAATCTAGTGAGTCATATCCGATGGGTGGTTAGGCACACTCTGGGGCGCCTTCGCTTCCAGTACGTATCTTGGACGAGGGCGAACAACCCGTAGACCTACATGTTGGTAGCTACGCCTGTTTTGGCCAAGTTCAAATTTAACAGCAGCATCGTAGAGCCTCAAACTCCACTTAAAACTATCTAGTCTAAGGTTGGATGTATTGACCCCGTTACCAAGAGAAGCTTGGAAGGCAGGACGGTCCATGGTATATGCAATGTCACTAGACGGACAACACACGGCTTCACTGACAGTGACAGGTTGACTGTCTACCCTCATTCACATCCGCCTAAGTCAGCAAAGTCGGTTACTAAGAAAATTCCATAGGACGTGGGTGAAGTTATTGAGAGACATGGTTTGAGTGACTCTCTTGAGTCTGATAGATGGATGTCAATCTCCAAGCTTTTTATCATCTCAAATTATTGGTTCGAGTTGAGATGCAAACGACAAGGTACAATCAATAGGAGCAAAGACGTACCCTTCCTCAGCCGCAGATAAGTCGTATCTCCATGAGATGAGGCGAGACATTCAGTGGAATAGCTTGGATTCAGAAACATTCTGAAGCTCCCAAAACACTATTTCAGGAGGAAACTAGCGTCACCGGGTCAACGTAGAGAAGCCCAGCCCTCAAGTTTTCGGAATTATGTTCACAGTATGCCTTGTCACATGTGGACAATAGCTACTTATGAAGTGACCCTAAATGGAGGCTTAGACCACCTGTTTTTTGATGCCAAGTTGAATGTGCAAACACTGCCACTCGAACTTGCGTTGTTGAGCAAATCATGTATGTTTGAGCTAACCAAATTTTTTCAAACGAGAAAGCCTGATAAAACGCCTTACAAAATAGCCCAGTCGCAGGCAACAATCCAGTTCGTCCCCTCAAGCTTGACCTCCCATGCAGGCTGGGATATCGCAACGCTACTCCCCAAAACCACCGGCGCCTTCTGTCCTAGCCCTGTGAGCCTCCCTTCTCCAGCCAGCATCAGTCTAGCCGAGATCTCTTCTGTCGTATCCTCGTCTTCAACAATCCTTCGGCCCTTTACGAGATACATCCGATTCCCGGGGCTAACTTCGTCGATAACAATATTCATAACCAGATCTGGAGGTCGGTCGCCGCCTCCCCACCCCTTGACCTCCGCCAGCCAAGACTGTAGCTCCGCGGCAAGCCCGCCGGCGATGTACTTGGGTCCACGGCGCTGCGGCGAGAAGGCCTCCGGCAACCCTTCTTGGCGCGGGTTTTGTGCTTCTTGGATCTTGAAGCGCGGGGCTTGGTGAAATTTCGGCTGCGTTTTGGCTGGTTCTCCTGGGTTGGGATCGGGTAGGCCGGGGTCTTCGTCCATCGACATGTCTTCGACGTCGGGCGAGAATTCCTCCCTCACATCCGGTATTACTTCATCCTCCTCCTCCGCGTCTTCGTCATAAACGGGAGGTTCTTCGTGAAAGGCACCTGAAAGATCATCCCGATTGTCATCCTGCCAACTAAGCGCAGATGAAACCGAAATGCGCCTCCTCTTTGGCGTCCTCTCGTCGATATCGCTATGGACCTGGCTGGACGTCACCGACTCAGCCTCAATCGAGTCGTTCACTGAGAAGCCTGTGAGTTGCGGCGCGACTTTTGCCCCGTCTTGCAAATCGCTCTCGTCGTCAGACTCGATCTCGATCCTCTCTTTCACCCTTTGCGTGCCACCCAAAGTCGACCGTCCGTATCGCGTCGCAGTCGGGGGCGCTTCCGGAGGCGAACTTTCCAGCGCATCGTTGATGGGGTCGGCGCGTCTCGAAGGTCGTGCCGTACCGGGAAAACGAGGTGTAGAGGGTGGTCGCTGTGTCGAAGGCCGTTGCGTTGACGAAGGTAAGGCAAAGCGCGGGGTCGCCGAAAAACGCTGGCTGCTCGCTGAGACTGGAGGGCCGTTTCCCGGTGTCTTTTGCGATTGCGGCGGTCGCTTCGAAAGGAGAAATTTCCGAGGAGCCGGTGTCTGCGTCAAGCCAAGGTCAGCGAGAGGACACAAGGTAGCTGAGGACTGGGAAGAAGTACAGATGGTGGTGGTTGCGTCATGGTCCTTGTGTCAGCCGAAGGGGCCGCGGCGTTGTCGTGGTGGGATTTCGAAGCAACAGTAAAGGACGTTCATTGCGTGGAAATGCCGGTGTGCATGCGAAATTTCAAGATTGTCGGTTCGCGCAGTGCTGAAGTAGAGTCGAAAAGGTAGCTGACGTCGATGATTGAGGCAGTCGCGTGGGCTTCAAGGTAGGCGCGTCTAACGGTTATAGTGTTAGACGGGGCACCTCGCAAGCTTCGGTAGATGCATAAGTATCCGTTGGTGGGTGAAGTGTTCGTCACATTAATCGACATTCAGCGGAGAGTATGGAGATTATTGGACTCGACCAGATGACCTTGAGTACTTCCATTATTTTCTAAAAAAAAATTCCAGATTGGTTTCTTTGATCTGTGACCCGGTATTGGCTGCGCAGGCAGGCACCTCCAACATCCACCTACTCACCAAGATGTTTGGCGTTTGGAGCTTTTGTTCAGTAAATGCTCAGAAGAACTCATTTTGACGAACAACTGGGTTATTTGATCCTGAGAGATATCTTCTGAATGGCACTCTATGGTATAGAATATCTTGATAAACTGAGACGGCCAAGTCCCAAAGTTATTGAATGGCCTCTGAAGTCAATGAGAAAGATGTTACATCTCGTTCTCGGGGACTGCTAATAGTATACATCAAGAATGGATTGAAAAGAAATGAGAAAGTCTTACAATATTATATCTCAGTGGATAAAGCAACCATGAGGGTTGGGTTTCGAAGATGAGATAGCATCATGTCGATGACAACACCCTCGGAAATTGACGTCGAAGTGTTACATGAACAAACCGAATTTAATCTCAATTCTCTTAACTTCTCCGAGATATTTGTCCTCTGAATCTCGTCCAGCTCAGGTAACTGAAAATATGAATGACGACGGTATTTGATGTATGGCACATGCTGGTGAAATAGAAATTTTGACACACTTTGAAGACGCATCTGAGCAATACTGAGTACTAAGACACCGCTCGATATGGCAGTCTTTCCCTCAAATAGATGTTGATTCATTCGTTCAATACGTATCGTTGATATCATGATAATAACTTGGATGTCGGGCCGTGGTTATCAGTCAACTTGGGATAATTGCCCTTTCAAAGCTCAGTCTCTTGAATTCGTTGATGGTCAACCCACTTTCAAAGACACTCTCAGAGTCGTTTTCCTAGTCGCAACTCTCCAATATATAATGTCATTCCATTTTGATTTTACTCCTAGTGAAAAAAGTGTACGGCGAACATGAAAAGCCAGAACCCATCGACCCAGCAGCCAAGTCACCATCACTCATCCATCTCACACCGAGGTTTCAATATATTTGATCTTCACATTTTTCACAATATTTCGGGTAGTTGTCTGAACGTATCGTGCAACCAGTCGTCTACCTGACTGCGTTCCTAATCTCTGTGGATATCTCAAGGCGGCAGTTCTACTTACACTCTATCAAGACTCGTATGATACTCCATGACTTAATGTCCAAGAACTCAACATCCGGTCTTCTCTCGCAGCCGATTATCACACCGCGACATTATTCCGTGTACACCCCATCTCAAAACCCTAGTCGCTGACCAAAAAAGAGCCAAAAGAACATCCCATCGACGCACCGGTTTCCCACACCGATCACGTTCCACGACACCCACGACACACCCACATGGCAAGTGAAATACCTCCGAACCCGACTCCCGACTCCCATCTCGCAACGTTGCCGCGCGCGCGCGCCGCCCGCCTCACCCGGATGTTGACGTGTCCCGTCCACCGGCGGCTACCCGCATCGTACCACCACCACCACCCACGACCCCTCGTCCCTTTTTTTTACACGCCTCTCCCCTTCGGAGAATATCCCACTGGCCGGGTACACCTGTAGTGCGACCGCCGGAACCTGCAGCGAGGCTTGCAGGGAAATGGAAATGCCCCGAGATGACAAAGATAAGCAAAACTCCAGACGGAAGAAGTCGGACGATGCGTGTCGTTGTCGAACGCTTCCGAAGAGGGATGTCGAGCAGCGACGAACGAGACGAGACAACCTCAAGCCTTCCTCTCGTCCCATGCCCGCAGGATCTCCGCCCTCAAGTCACCCCCCTCCTCGGCCCTCTCAACCGCGAACCTCTCGGCCTCGATCCTCCCCTGCCTGAACCTCGCCTCGGCCACGACGTCCCTCCTCGGTCTCTCGCCCATGGCCTTGGCGCAGGCCAAATCGGCCTGCCTCAGACTGATACCGACGAACCCAATCAAGACGTTGATCAAGGCGATCAACGTCCTGACAATCGCGAGCGGGACTTCAGCAACAACCCTTCCGGTGCTTCTCCCCTTCTTCTTCAGAGCCCCGGGCTGTGTAGCCAGACTACCCAACTCAACCAGCGGCGTGGAGACCAAGAACGACAGCATCTGGCCGTAGCTGTAGACCCTCGGGTTACTCGCGAACATCCTCGGCTTGAAAGGGGAAGCGAGCTTGTAGAGCAGAAACTCCACGAGATTAAACATCCCGAACGTGACGCTCGCGAGAATAGTCAACGGTGCTGAATGTGACATTAGCAATCTTTCCCTCCCATCGCAACCATCGTGAACTTACCTGTAATGATATGGAGCAACACGTCAAGCACCGCCTTCTCCTTCAGGCCGTTGATGACCCTGTTGACCCCAAAGAACAGCCCTGTGATAGGATCTCCAGGACTGACCAAGTCAGGCCACTTCATCACATCCGCCGCCCTCAGCTGCTCCCTCCTCACCCTTCCCTCCTTCACCAAAACCTCCGCCGCCAGAGCACTCAGCTTCCTCCCATCCACACTCCAGACCGCCGGCCTCGCAGGAAAGACCTCACACCGCCAGCTCTTGTAAACGCTCACAGTCTCCAACAAGTCCTCAACGCAAACATCCTCCCCGGGCCTCTCCCTCCCGACTTCGTCAGCGAACTTCTCCGCAGCCCGCGCATACTCAGGCTTCAACAGCTCCCCCAGGCTCTCCCTGAACTTGTCGACCGTCAACTCCGCGATCCCGAACCCGGGCGCCGGCCCGCACCCAACCGCAGCCACCCTCGAGCCCCAGAACGGCTGGTCGCCGGCCACAGGAATGACCAGCGTAGGCCGCCCGCTCCTCAAAGCCATGGCCGTCGTCCCGCTGCCCCCGTGACACACCACAGCTCTGCACCTGGGGAACAACCACGCGTGCGGCGCCTCGTCAATCACCAACACGTTCTCCAGCCCGTCCGCCCCCTGAACCCCCTTCTCACCGACCTCTTCCCACGCGAAATCGCTCCAGCCCTTACACACCACAGCCCTCACCCCCATCTCCCTTAACACCTCAAAGATCTTCCGAAAGACCTCCTGCGCGTCGACGAAGGTCATGCTCCCGAACCCGATGTACACGGGCGGCGCGTCCCCGGCCTCGAGGAACGAGACGAGGGCCTCGGGGGGCGCGTACGACTCGGGCACGTCGTCGAAGACGAAGCCCGAGACGCGGATGTTGTCGGCCCAGTCTCGAGGTTTCGGGAGAAGCAGCGGCGACCAGAGGTACGTGCAGGGCACGTCGAGGCGGTTGTACTGGCTGAGCCACCATGCCGGTGACATCGGCTCCAGGCCCATGGCGAAGCGGACGTCGTTGAAGACGGACTTGATGGTGTGTAGGAACCTGCGTGTAGTTTGTTAGCAAAACCATCATCTAGCCAGTTTCCAGCATAAAGACGAAGACTCGGTTCGCCCTCTCAGGTGTTGGACTTGGCAGGGTTCGCTTGATGCAAGGACGATCGAGCACAGGAGAATCGCAACTCACATGAAATCCTGCACCCACCAACTAAGATCCCTCCTCACCCTCCCGCCCCCAACAGCCCATCCCGCCTGACTATGCGGCAAATCCCTCGAGTAAATCCTCGGATTCATCCCGAACAAGTGCAACGGCACGCCCAACCTCGCCGCCGCGGACGTCTGATTAAAAACAATCATCGACGAAACCACAAGATCAGCCACGAACCCGTCCTCCTCTTTCCTGCCCCCCCTTTCGTCATCATCTTCTTCTTCCTCATACCCCTCCCCGACGCAGGCCCCCCACCACCGCGTCCCCATCTCCCTGAACTCCTCCCGTATCGCCGGCACCTGCGCCCGCAGCTCCCCCCGCGGCAGCAGCCTGCGCCGCATCATCGCCCTGACGTCGCAGCCGCGGCCGACGGCGTAGAAGTCGACCCCCGCGGCCTCCACGGCGGCGCGGTACGGCGGGTGCGAGGCGATCCGGACCCGGTGGCCGTGCCGTTCCTGCAGGCGTTTCGCGATCGCGACGGAGGGCTGCAGGTCGCCGCGGGAGCCCATGAAGAGGATCACGACGTTGAGCCGCAGCGCCGGCGGCGGTCTCTCCGGGGCGGCGACGACGGTGGCCCCGGGAGCCGTGCCAACGTCGGATGCGTCGGATGTGAGCGCGGCAGACATGCTGAAGGCTTGTTGTTTTCCGCTTTCAACGCGTCAGTGTGGACAATCCGAGGTTTGATGCCGGCCGTGAGCTTGTTCTCAGCTGAACGCCGGACCTCGTGTGATCAGATAAACTTCACAAAGGTCAACACGAAGACGATAAAGCAAAACGCAATGGCATTCATCCTTTTACTCATGACTGAAGATATCCCGTCTCCTGAGACTTCTTGGCTTTGGCTAAACCCCTTTTCTCTTCAACGCACTATTACGTGAGGCGCTAATCGAAGCTGACCACCAATGAAATCCTCCAATTACTGCCATGTCAGCAGCCCAGACGGCCTATCTACCCTGATCTGGATTCTCCGCAGGATGAAGAAATATTGAAGCATCCTTCAGGAAGAGAGGGTAGGATCAAAGGAACCAAGGCCCCGTCCACCCGGGAGACGCTGCTGGTCTGAAAGCGGATACCCGCGGAGGCCACGGGACGGAAATGTGCGTCCCGCACCGCAGCATCCGGCTCCGGGGGTGGGTGGGCGCGAGGCGTGGTGGTCGCCGGCTGGCTGGAACATCCATCTCGGCGTCCGTACCAGCACATGTCGTCTCTTATTCGGTTTCGCCACTCGACCATCTGTGTCACGGACCAGGCCGCCATCGTCATTTCCCTGTCACAAGTCAAAAAGGAAGTTTTGTCGTGTTTTTCGCCTCACTCGAGACTCTACAGCTTTCAAAGTTCAGACCGAACACCCGAAGCTGCCATGACCCTAGCTTCAGCAGGCCTCCGATGCGAGTTGGAAAAGGGTCGAGCGCGCAGAGTGAGCTGCGATCGGACGCCCAAATCCTTCCCTCTTTTTCCCAACTCTGGGGTTTCGTCATCGGACGATGACACATGTAAGACCTTGAACGACGACAATGGGAGAAAAATAAACCGAGAAGAGCAAAGCAGCGTTACATCTGCCTGCGTCTGAAGTTCCCGGACAGTCGATGCAAGGGGCAAATAGGGCAGTGAAGGCTGACAGCCATAAAGCCTGACGGTTGGATGCTGCGTTGCCTGTGAGACGCAACGCGACGCTACGACGGCGGAAAACTGACTCGAAGGGGAAAATCGACGTTGGATTTGTCTCAAGCAGTCACAATCACGACGATGGATTAGGCGAAAAGCCTCGCTTCCAGAATGCCGAATGGAATGAAACAAATAAACATTGCCCAGGCAGGTGTCGTGCCCACGGGCCTCGCGATGGAGCATTCGAATGTTCTATAATGGGTGGCGGCGTTTTTTCTCAAGGAGCGGATGGAAATTGGAGGATCTTGTGGAGGATGCGATAGCGGTTGAAATGACCGATGGCGGTCCGGCAGTAGATCGCATTTTGGGTTCCGTCGATGTGGCTCAACACCACGGACATTTTCCCTGACTCGCTAATCTGGCCACGCTGGCGGCCGATTTACGCAGAGAGGCGACGGGATCGGAACGGGGCAAGAAGATGAGTTGACCGTGATGTCGTGCATGTTGGATGGGCCACGCCACGCCAGACACACCGTGGCGAGCAATCTCGAGGCCCTCCAACCACACCGAAAAAGCCTCTGAAGCTGTTGATGGTCGCATGGAGGCGTAAGGAACTGGCATGCCATGTCGTAAAAGCAGTAAAGAGCTTGCAGGAGGCCAGGCGCAGCCAGGCCAAGGTTGGTTAACCTTAACGTTAGCGGCCTCCCACTGCAGGCACCTGACACGCCTCTGCCGACCGCTCGCACGTACTGGCTCATGTTTGCCATGCTGTTGCTGCGGAATGTTTTGTGATTCCGGGTGCCGCCGGGCCTCCAGCTCGTTGCCACTGTAGCGTCTGCATAGGGGCATGCGGATTTTGGGACGGCGTCGGTTTGTTACGTCGTCGGCAGAGTCGTAATCGCAAGGAACAGGCCGCTGAAGAATGTTCCTCATCCCCTCATCGTTCGAACTCTTGGAGCTACCAGCCAAGAGCCGGGAGGCATGGATGAGCAAAGCCAAATACCATGTAGCACAATGGAGGGGTGGGAGGGGCAGACGGAGAGGATCGTGCTGGCAAATGCCAAAGACAAGTGGCAGAAATCGAAGTCGCAGTTCAGGTTGAGCGGCGCTGGAGCAGAACCCGAGTCTTCGTTCGTATCATGATGGCGTTAGTGCAGAAGAGCAGAGTTGAGATGAAACCATTGTAAATCACTCGAGACCAGGGTCTGAGGGCGCCAGCTCGTGTGTCTCTTCGAGATGATCGGCGCAGGGATGTCACCCTGCAGCAGGCCTTGTCAGAGAGGTCGGGCTGGTTTGGTGGGTTGGTCTGCCGGCCGCAGGCCTGGAGACAGGGCGTCTCGTCCGCGATTGCGCAGCATCCTCGGGCCCGAGACCGATAGGTACTGAGTGAGGTCTGATGAGCAATAACGGCCAACAGACAATTCCCTCAGTCTAGGTAGGATCCGCTGGGGCATGTCATCTGTATTCGAGGACAGACGGCGTGTCATAGGGCAACCGTCTGGCCCGTAGCCTGAGTACGGTCGTGAACTTGTCTCGTTGTGCGAGGACGTGGCCGTTTGGTAAAGGCTGGGCTGGACGTGGGAGCCGAGAAAGCAGGCCGTTGGCGTTGGTGTTGGCGTTGGTGTTGGCGTTGGCGCCGGGCGCTGACGATGGGCAATTGTGCCCTGGAGCTAGACCTGGTCGACCCAAGCTTCCGTGGGCCGAGTCTGCGTCGCATCCCCTCTCCGTCAACCCATCTTGAGCCGGAAGCCAAGATTGAGGCACCTTAGCTGCTACCCAGGGCACCTTACTTGAAGCCACGGAATTGGGGCCAGGTGGCGTCCATCGTGTTCAGCGCGAAGACTGGACCACGAACTGGCGCATTTCGCAACGTGTATGATGGATGCCTGTGCTCACCGACTTTCGTCAGCAAGGTAAACAAGCCCAGGCCGAAGAGGTGAAGAGAGCGGGAAGGCGTCGTCCGTTAGCGAACAGCTGGCTAGTGCTGTTTGATGGGCCGAAGACGACGACGGGTGTGGTGATGATGCATCTGTCGCAGCAGAGAATAGGACGAGTGACAGTATCAGTGTCAGTCGCGGCAGAGCAGACCAGAGCAGAGCAGAAGCAGAGCAAGCAGCACACTAGGTAGGTAGGAGGCGTCGTAGATACGGCTGAGGTACCTGGAGTATCATCCATCCGGACCCAAGGCAAGGCAAGGTAGAGAAGGTAAGCTTGAGGTGCTTTTGGTTCTGCAGTGGAAGCTTGAGCGTCTGCGTGTCAGCGCATGTTTTGTCGTTTGTCTGACAAGCTCGCATCGTATTGCTTGCGGGCTCTGCGTCTTGACCTCGTCTTGACCTCGTCCTTGTCTGGAGTGAAGATTTGCCTCCGTTCCGTCTTCGGGCTCGTACTTTTTTTCGTTTGTCTTCGGCTTTGACTGTACTGCGTTCTGCGTACTGCGTAGGCTCGCGGACCTCGCATGCTCCTTCGTCCAAAGTGCGGTGGCCGGATCTCGAGGTTGTCCGCTTGATGCTAGGCCTGATTAGGCCATGTTGGAGCAAGAGGACCTCAGTCCTCAGCAAAGGAGCGCGCAAGGTCTTTCGAGGCTCTGACCGGTGCGTTGCTGTAGCGTGTATTGTGTTGTGTATCCGTACTCTGTATCCGTACTCTTTCTCTGTGTAGAGTGCGGGTAGAGTCAAGGCACTTGGGAGATGGAAGCAGAGATGCGACCGGGAGCTGGGGTGACCGTTGGAGAAGTTCCCGAGTCTCTTCGCTGAACGTTCCATTCTTGTCTCCAATGACAAGAGGAGTGGACATCAGCTGAAACATCTGCAGCTTCTTGAAGGGAAGGAAGGGGTGGGTTGGTGGGGACACGCGGGATCCACAAACGCCACCGACCCCACCTCACATAATCGAGGCTGGCCCTTGCTGAAAGCGGGTACGGATTATTCTATCACCCAATCAATGCTCATAAATGATCCGTCCACTAATGCCCCGGCATCACACCCCTTTCCGGTACGTACCTTTGGTAATGGGCACCTACCTATTCTAAGTTGAGTTGAGTTGTGTGTTGCAAAGAAAAGATTCAAGGTAAATGTGCCTATGTCCGGTAGTTGATTTGAACGAATGAGTTGACGGATGAATGGATTGGACGGTCGAAGATGGGACAATTCATATTTCGCCTCTTATGCTGCCAGCATTGAGGGTTATGCCTGTAACATGATAGCATATGCGCACTTCAGTATTCGTACTCTGTGGCTGTAGCTGTATCCGTAGCCACAGAAGCAATCTAGTCTTCCATGCCGAGCTGAGAAGTGATTGTTTTCCTGCCAATGCCCCTCCCCTTCCTTACTGCATTACTTTGATCGCCTGGGCTATGGAAGAGAAGGGCACGTAATGCCATCACTCCCACCTCCTACTTTCCATGCCTCACGACGAAGAGCTGTCCTCTCTGGGCAGCGACAGCCGTCGGCGACGACCCGACTCAACCCCTTGCCCCTTTCCTTCCCCGCCGACAGGAATATCTGTGCAGGGAAGCCTCGTCCTCGTCCGGTCCAGCTTCCCCTCGGCCAGCGCCAGGAACAAGCCGCATCAGAAAGAGTGCTCCTGTCTTCCCCAATAAGGCACGATACTCCAGTCTCGGAGGGACTTGAAGTCGCGACCTGTGGAGAACGTGGACTTCAGCTGCAACACTAACACCCACATCCACAATGGGGGGATGACGGACGACGGTTGACGGGGAGCCACGGTTAACGATTCACGATGGACGGTTGACGGTTGACGGAAGGAGGCGTCTTGTCGTCCCACCATAAGGTGCCGAAGTAACATAGTAAGGTAAACCACCGGGATCCAACCACCAAGAAAAGGGTTTGGCTGCACTGGAAAGGAAAGTCACCACGGGAATGGCGCGGGAGAGCTTCCATCGCACCCCGTACCGATGGAAGGCCAAAGGCATTGACCGGGGTTGGGGTTCTTGCACTCTTCCACGACCAGGAACTTGACCTGAACACCAAACCTCTCCAGACCCGGACCTGGACCCGATCCC